GGGGGGTGGGGGGTTAGGTGCCGGAGCCCAACTGTGATAGGACAAAAGCCGAGGCACACCCTGACTGGGTCGCCAGTCTATCGCAGGGCCATCACAAAGAGACAGACAACTATTCACACTGTTACATTCACAGCGTCTGCGACTGTGGGAGGAATCCAGAGAACCCACAGAGAACCCACACAGTCACAGAGAACATGTAACCTCCACACCACCCAGCTGACTGGTCCATTCAAAGCCAGGACCTTCTTGTGCTGAGGCGAACACCTCTCGCAAGTCCTAAAGGGTTCACTGTGCTGTTGCACTTGAGTTGTGCAGGTTGGAAAAAGGTAGAGAGCAGTGCTCTAAATGGTCCACACTTTGAGTGACCTTTCCATTTGTGAGGATGAATACAGTCTGTGCAAATGGAGGTCACAATGACATTTAACTCATATTACATGAAACCACACATTAAGAGTAATGGGACAGAGTTTCAAAGACACGTTTCCTTAAAGACACTGCACAGGTCAGCCTGAGATTCAAGCAAACTGAGAACAACCTCCACCTCCTTTAAAAATGCAACCTTAATGTTCAGAATGATTCCAAAGGTGGTGAGCATGTAGTCATTATGTGATTCTGGATTTTATGCTCATCAGTTCTTTGTTGCTCTTCTCTTTAAAAGACACAGTTGTTTCTGTGCTGCACTGCGTGCTGAGGGCCAAGCATTACTGGCATGGTTTTTAATCCTCTATTAGCCTCAAAGCAGCACAGCTAACTTGCATTTTCCCCACAAAAACAAAAAAGCACCCAAAGGATTCACCATAAAATCATCCTAAACACAGCATTAAGACTTTTTACAGCTGCAAGGCTACTGCCTGTCCTCTAATTTTACTTTCTCTTCCTCTAAACTTGCACACATGTCATGATGACATGCTAACGGGATTTGCCAACATCCAAGATTCAACCTGAAGATGTCAGTGTGCACCCATTTGTATCTGCATCTCTGGCTTACCTTTGTTCAGGTGTGAGTTGGCTTTGGTTTTGTCACTGAAGCCCTGGCTCCGTCTGTTCCCAGCAGCACTGACCGACCCTCTCGGTGGGATGTCACTGCCAGCAGTGGACACCCTTGTTGTGGGGCCAGGAAGTCTGATGAATAGATAGAAGAAAAAAGGAAGAAAGCAAGGGAGAAAAAAGAGGGAATAAACAGGCCAAAAAAAGTTAGCTGCTTTATGACAAACACGAGTTTATGAATCTAAAGCAGTTTTATTTTCCCCCACACATTACAGAGACACATTAGGTCACTGCAAGCCTATAACACAAGCACAACAGACTGTAAACTAAGATGGGAGGGTATAACATAATTAGATTTATTAGACCAAGCATTTTATGTGATTAAACCAAACACATTAGAAGGGTAAGTGGCAGTTGTAGAACAAATCACATTTCTGAAAGAGAAAACCACATTCTGCAAATACCAAAATATCCTAGTAGCATACATCTTCTGTTTGTTTTGAAACTAGTGATAAAATTAATATAGTTTCAAAACTAAATTAAGTATAGTTAATAGTTTAAAAAAGGAAAGTGCTACACAAACATGCTGTTTAGGGGAGTGCAATTTGCCACAAAGGATGAGCTTTAAAAAGAAATCTGCACTAGCGTGCTTTGTTTTCTATACCGTGCCTCTGTGATGATGTGCACTGAAGCTGATGTACCACCCTCAATAGGCTGTAGAGGACCTCAACATCCACAGCTAATTTGTAATATGAACTTGTTGACCTACTGTATTGATTTCCTGGGGGAAGTGGTCTCTGTTTGCTTTCCAGAAGGTCAAATATACCTCAACCTCATTGCTACACTAACCACAATAGGACTGCCCTCCTCTTCATGTCTTTCTAAATGCTTCACACTATTTTAGGCTCCTTTCTAACAAGGCATTTTTCCAAACTTGTTCAAGGTTCAAGGTTCACTTGTTCCTGACATGTGTAGTTTTCTATTTAAAATTGCAGCTTTAGTTTTAAACTTAGCTTTTGTTTGCTTTTCTTGCAGCATTGCGGCGACCCACCCCCAGGGTACACCTACACCAGGCTAATGGAGACAGATAAGCTTGCAGCAGAGTGGACAGTCAGACTGAGAGCAGGTCCTGGGAGAACTATGAGCTCAGATTACACGTGCTCCTCCTTATTTTCCCCACATGGATTAGACTGTAGACAAGCTTTGGTGGAAGTTATGACACCTTGATTTCATTTTGCAAGCCAATCTATAAGGCGAGTTGGAATCTAACAGGCTGTGGCACACAGCTGCTAATGAAATGCTAATTGACCATTGGCGACATCATCACCATCTTGGGACTGAGGCGGATACTTGATAAGCAGATTACAGCAGTCTCACTCAGCTCTCGTGTGCATTATAGAAACTCTCATTTCCGTCTTGCCATTCACTTTGAGTGACCACTATTTATCCAGCTGTTGCAAGGTAATAGCTTTAACCACATTATTTAGGCTAGAGTAGTCTAAAATCATTTCAATTATAGCAGGGCCAGCAAGTCTACTACCTTCCCCCACTGGACTGAGTCTGTCAGGAAGTAATTCAATCTAGTGGTTACATTAAAAAAAAACAAAAAAAACGCGCAACACTTTTTTCTTAAATTTTAATTTTAATATGGGCTATAGTGTGAAAAGAAATTCCAGAATAAATCTACTTCGCAAATCTTTCTCTTTCTACACTCTTAAAAGTGCAATGCAGACAAAGAAAAGTACTTAAATATTTCTCAAAATGAAGTACTAGTGCTAACAGCACATCATTACTTGGATACAACCAACTTACCAAAAGAAAACCCTTTAAAAAACAGTCTGCTTACACTAAATTGTACAGCAATTCTTCTCTTCACTTAGATTCTTTCACACTCATATGTTCAAAAGCACCATGTTTTGCTGTTAACTCAGTATGTTAACACTGAGTTAACAATAATTTTTATTCCAAAACAAAGAAAAATAGACCTTTCACTGCAATATTAGCAGCTAGCATTAATATAAACAATTCACATTGTTAAAATCTTTTAAAATTCGCTATCAGATGCTGCCAGAGAGTCATTTTAATCTTAATTAAGATCAATCAATTTAAAAAAAAAAGAGTTTAAAAAGTGTTTTGATAAATGATGTAGAATAATTGTAGTTGCACATGCTGACCAAAAGAGGGGGGCATTTCTTTAGTTTGGTCAGGTGCTGTATCCAGGCAGGTGCAATGTAAACATATTCTGGGATGGGGCAGCATGCAAAACTAAATGGTACACTAAATTTCAAGGTGCGTTATCACATCATATGATGCTGCATGCTATAAGGAGGCTAATGTAACTGAAAAAGAAAAAAAAAAGTAAGACCAAAGATAAATATAACATGTCTCATTACAGACCTGCCACAGATTCCTCTGTGTTAATTATTAATGTCATATTATATGGGGGATTGCAGGAGCACACACGCGCACACACACAAGCACGCACACATTTACTTAAGGGTTATCTAAAGGTCTTCTACAGCCCATTAAGCAGGCCTGCCAAATGAGGCACGCTGCCAGAGAGACAGGGCCTTCTGAAAATGGAGCCTGGAGCTTTTGTTCCTATCTGCTCCAACACTACCACTCATGCATAATAGATAGTGCTTGTAGTAGAGATTGCCCTTAATCACAGACAAAGAAACAACATTAAACTCATTACAGCGCGAAAGAAATGCTATCCTTGATTAGGGGCAATCTCAACCTATTTCCAGGAATGGAACGGAATAGGAGGTGTGGTGGAGGAAAGAAGGGAAGGAGAAAGAAATTAGAAAGGCACAAGAGCTGACCTAGAGGTCTTTTTCTGACCAAGGGAAAACTTGAGTAGTTTACTTTGACACCCATCCCTAGAGGAGAAGAAAAGAGAGGAAAGATATGGAAGAGGACAGAGACAGTGAGAGGTCAGGTTTAGAGTTATAAATGACAAAAAGTGCGAACAGGAAGATAGAAATGTCAAAATGATGGATTACAACAGCAGGCACGTGAAGAAAGTAAACACCACAGGGACACATTTGTTCACTCCAGTTAGCCTCACCTGGACTGCATCTCGGCCTGCGCTGCTTTCTGGGATGTGATGGCAGGAGTCCCATGCAGAGAGTGGCTGAGCTGGGCCGGGGCGCTGATCTGCTGACTCAGTGGAGGGTGTGTGCTCTGGGACTGGGCAGCAAGTGGGAGGGTGGGCTGGGAGTTTTGCCGCTGGGCCTGCTGTTTGTAGCGGGACAAGCTGAAGAAGAGGCCAAGGATGGCTTTCAGATTGCCATTCCGAATCTCTGAAGGTCAGAAACAAGGATGGGGTGAATGATTTATAAGGAGAAAAGTAGAAAAAAAAGTGGGGAGATGAAAACAAAATAGAGGATGAAGTTTGCAACAATTTTTCACATTTACCATACTAGTGCTTGGAAAATAAGCTACTAGGGTTTTTTTTAATGATTTCATGGCATTTTGATTGTTTTCTTATATGGAGATCATCTCTCTTGCTTATCAAACCATATATTCTATTCTATTGTAGATAGTGAAAAACAGCAACATTTTTGTAATTTAATTGTTTATCTAGTATTACCTTACTTTAGTGTAGCATGAATCAGTAGCTGTATAAAGTTGTACAATGCATTAATCCATTTAAAAGTCCAAATTTATCCCCTCCTTTCCAAAGTTGTCCAGTGAGAAACATTGGCATGTCTTTGCCAGCCCGATTCTGGGCCCTGGGCCTTATTTAGATGGTCAGCCCCATCTGAAACTGGCATTTCAAATACGTCACACTCTGTCTAATTCCTCTATCTAATTCTGCTGCCTTTAGCTCTCCTTCTGGATTGTTCTTGAACTGCAAGATGATACACCTCAAAGTTCTCCTAACAGAACAGTGAATGGACCCCATGTGTTTCTTGCTGTAATAGGATGCTGCTGTTTGATTCAGCTTTGCATTAGCACCAGTAATAATATTGTCTCTCAGTTCCCTGTGTGAATTTCTTTCTTTTTCTTTGACAACAGCTACATTTAAACATCATTATGTACCATTGTAAGCTTTCTGGTACATTAGTTATATGTGTTGTGAAATCAGCCCTGAATGTTTTCATTTGCATTAATACAGAGTTTCCTGGAGAGAGCTTGCTAATAAATTTTTTTTTTTTTTTTAAATCAGTGTACCAATTCTGAGGTTTTATCTTTCTCGCGGCATCAGTTCTATTTAGTAACTAAGCCTGAGCTTGATTCAGGATGAACTCTCATGTTCCATGTGAAAGAATAAATCTATGGTTCCAGCTTACCTTCTGCAGACAGACCCTGGATGTTGACTCCTTTAGCTGCCAGGAAACTGAGGCAGGTATCTATGTTCTCAATCTACAGAGAGAGAGAGTTAGAGCTGCATGATTCTTCATACTGTACATTTACATTAAAATTTGCATCATGGTGAAATATGAGCACCCACACTGATTTGCTTTTTGCATGGCTCTCACAACAATAACAAATCTGGGGGAGTCAACATAAGGCAAAGGTTGGCATCACAACATCTTAAGCAGTAAATAGAGGTGCTGAATATCAACGACAATGATAGAACTGTTGGGACTGCAGATCGTTTATCATTTAATAATCACTGATCTGACAGGTAGGATGACTCCAAAAACAGTTAAGATGGAAAATAAGCTTTTTTTGATCATTCATTAATGTGTTGTATCCAACTTCGGATTCGTGCAAAAAAGTCATCATGACAATTTTTTGGCAAGTTTTATGTGACGAGACCTGAGTGTTAAGTGTTTACACGGCACTGCATTTAAAGGCGTTTTGTGGCATTTGGGATATCAGCATTTATAACAAACAAATGGCACTAAAACAACAAATTTCTGGCACATATAAAAGTATGAACTATTGCTGAAGAGTAGAAGAGAGAGTCTGTATGTACAGAGATTGCTGTGCCATACTAGAGAAGTAAATTGGACCACATAGTGACATAGCCAAAGCAGAATTCAAACCAGCCACACTTACATCACTTGATCTATGAGGAAGCAAACATCTATAGTCACTCAGTTGCTATGACAGCAGCCATGGCAACCTGAGCAGACTGCTGAGCTGTCACTGGACTGTGAGAGGATTTGATAGGCAGACAGGCTTTGTTTAGAGACCATGTGACCCATTATACACAGAATCTGCTGGCTGGCGCACCTTATCGTAAGGTAAACCGCATAAAACAAGTCATTAAGCAGGGTAGATCTGATGAATGACTGTGCGATCAAAGTGTACCAACTGTTGTTGTTGGTGGGGAGCAAACAAACAGGGTACAACAAAAGATATATCAGTATTATACAGTCATTGATCTCTCATATTACACACAGAGTTACTAGCTGTGTAGAAGTCTCTGCAGAGCAACTAATCAACAATAAAAACTGTTTGAGAAGTGGAAATTTTAAACTGTATACAAAGGTTAGGGAGGGGCCGAATCTTTTCAGAATGCTATTTATTCACAGAGTAGATTTCTAATGCACTGAGCCTAATCTGCAACACTGCAACAATATATTGACAAAAAATCATTCTGAAAGCTTCAATAGAACTTTACAGCAGAGGGTGGGAGCACAGATACACAGCAATGATACCGCAAGTGGTTTCAAACCTAAATACATATGAACTGTGTTCTTTGTAAATGAGCCTGGGTGTGGGCTGCAAACAGAAGGGTCCTGTACAGTAATGATTAATGACATGATTACACTTAATATGCACCAACTAAATATAACCTGACCTACAGCTCCCACTGTGCTTCTCCTGCTAGGAAGTCTCCGGCTATGAGGTGACGAACTCATTTACATCTGCCTTTGTAAAAATATAAAAATGTCTGACAGCAAATGTTGTAGGTAAATCCATGAGTGCACTACTAAACCACAGAAGCCACAGAATTACTACTAAGTTTGCTGCCATCCTGTACTATGTCACATTTAGTTATATCCACCAGCAGTTGGGGGTACATGTTACAAAGTAACTTGTTTGAATACTTGGATTCCCTTTTGTGGTGTACTTCACTTCTTTTCCTTCCTTCTCTTGTGTTTTACGCAGTGCAATAGTGTAGCTCAGATAGCAAAGATGGTGTAGAGGACAGCATTTACGTCATTAAAGTTTCAGCATTACACTCAATTTGCATGTGAACAAGGGCAACATCATCAAGGTGGAATGTCCAGGCTACTGTAATTGTCAGTCAGCAGCAAAAAACTTGAGCAGGAAGTACTCCTTGCTGAAGGACTTGCTAGCACTCCTTTATCAGTCAACCCCACAGTCATACTGCTCTTAGAGCCACATTATTAGTTATTAGCAGATAGACTTGCTACTATGATACTATGAATTTCACAATAATGTTACAACCTCTAACAGAATATTGGATGTATTATTTCAATAATACTGGCTTGATAACAATTTCTTCATTGCTTTCAGTGTTTGAAACAAGCTCCAAAAATATCTGAGCCATGCCAGTGTGTGAAGAGTTCATCTGACTTCAGGTCATCGGCTGAACTGAAAATGCACCACTGCCCCTGCTGTCATTTCCATGACCTCTGACCTGGGAAACAGCTGTTAGCAGGGCTGGCACATGCTGTCCTTCAATGTAGGACAGCAGTAAACTAAGGAACAGTAGGAATGCAGGTTATGGTCCTCTCTGAATACTGCCGGGTCCTTAAAAATAAACCTGTTGAAAACCTTCTTTAATACCTTGGGCCTAAACTTGTAAGCAGCCTTTTATAGTTGAAGCTTAAATAGCAGTAACCCTCAGAATGTATATTTCAGTGAGACACCCCATCATAAGTGTCATGGTCAGGGTAAATATGCTGAAACCTCTACTGCTATTTAAAACGCGTAGGAAAAACAGTTTAGTAAAGCCGGCGGAACATCAGCTGTAGCCTGAAATCCTACTCAGACCACTAAATATATGTTCTAATTACTGTATATTACTGATTAGTCCATTCAGGATATTTAATGAGTTAGAATCGGATCAAAGGTTGTAACACTTGTAAGGCAGAGTGTTCCAATGTCATAAAAGTTAAACTTAGTTTAAGGCTGGCCAGGAATCTAAATACTACATGATCATCCAGCTTAAAAGAAAATGTCTGAAACAGCATTGGTTAAAGGATGACTGATATGGATGATCACGTTAGTACTGTTGACTGGATTAGCAAAACGTTGCCAACAACAAGAAAGAGGAATGCAATGTCTGTGTCTGTCACCACTTTATTTTTTGGGTCACTGCTCTCATGAATCTGCTCTGTGCAAACTTTGTACCAAGATAACCGGCTGATAAATGATTGCAGACACACTGAAGTGAAAGGAAAAGTGTATACGAAGCGCCCACGCTGCCAAAGGGCAGTAAGCTATAGCCTCAAAATTTTATATGGTACAGAAGAGAATCTACTGACAACCAGAAAAAACCCCACCTCTAAACAAGAAAGCGTTCACTGTCAGCATAAGACAACAAATCTGCAGGGAAGCCCCATACCTGCCTGAAAGTGTGACATGTTCCTGCAGTTTGCCTCTGCCCAGCTTCACACCTCGATCCGAGCCACTGTCACCTCTCTGCTCTGCTCGGCTCCTGGCAGCGTTAGTGCAGGGCTAGCCGGCCAACAGTGCTCTGAACAAACATTTCCTCCCATCACAGGGCTGCTATTGTGTGTGTGTGTGTGTGTGTGTGTGAGTGTGTGTGTGTGAGTGACTGAGAGAGCGAGAGAGAGAGAGAGAGAGAGAGAGGGGAAGGAGTATGCTTGAGCAAGAGTATTATGAGTGTGAAGCAGGATTTCACCGACAAGCAGCAAAATGGCTCTTACATTTACTGTTTACATGTCAGTCTTCCAGTCAGAATAAAAGCAGAGCACCAGCAGATCAGAGTGACCAAAACTAGGCTATAAGATTTAACCAGATTGATGTACTACAATAAACGTGAGAACTGCAAGACTGACACCTGCCTTCTGATGAGGATTATAGTTTACCACAATTTGAGTCTTGCTTCTGCATTTACCTGTATGCTTTTCTATTCGCAGGGATCTGGGAACAAAGCACAACATCACTACAGCAAACTGTGAGACCGTAAGCTGTTAAAGCTGTGGTTTCGTCTGAAACACTTCATCACTTCATTTGGAAGTAAAACTGAAATTATGAGCATCAAAATCCCGATGCAATAAAATATCCTACTTTACCCCTAACTATGAACGGTCGAAGTTAATTCAGAAGCTGGTCTGTTTGGGTACATTACAGTTTCCCACTAAAAAAAAAAAAAATGTAACAAAATGAAATCACATATTTTTTTGCAAAACAGCAGTTAACAAATTACATTTTTCTGCTTCAATGAGGCAGGAACCTTTTTTTTGGCTGAAATGTTATATTTTAGAGAAACACCTTATTGGCTTGATGCATTGGACCTTTTTCCTATGATGTGACGACACGAGCTTCGTTTCCGGACAGCTCCGTGTCATTTGACCTTTTGACTGTTGGTTCTTGTAGAGTCTGGCTGGTTAAGACTGTGAGCCAACACGTTGCGTCAGCATGTGTGTGTATCTGTGCGTTGTTAAATCCATCAGTGTGTGCCCTCGCGCACACACACACACTTTCACCCACTCGGGATGTTTCATGGATTGCATCTAGCCACCCACTTGCAGAACTTTGACACGTACCTGAGTAATTCTTTCTATTCTGACAGAAAACCACGTACGCTCAAGTTTTTAACAGAAATGTTCTGGTGCAGCAGCAGCATGAATAGATACACCATGATGCAACTTCACACACGTCGGTGTAACAGGGAGCACACTGAGCCCTCTTCCATCTGAAAATTCATTTTTACATACTCACTGTTGTGTTTGAGAGTTGAGGCAGTCATATCAGGATATCTGTGCTATTGTAAGTTGACTGTTATGTTTTAATTGTTCCTTTGAAACGGTTTTGATTCAGGCTAACATCGGCTTGCACCCACACAAACTGAAATTCCCCCAGGCTTTCATCTTAAAAGGCCACATTTTTCAAAGTTTAAATGTTCCTGGGGAAAAAAGCCATTAAAAACTGCTGTGTCATATCTCCCATGAATAGACTAATTGTTAAGCCACAAATGAACACAGTGTATATACAAAGGTTGGACAATATAATACAAATACCTTGTGGAACATTACAAGATTACCTCTCTATCACAGCACCAGAAAAAAGTGTTAATATTATATGGAGGCAGCTTTTGATTGAGAACAGTTGAACTGAACTGCATTATTCAGGGTAACGTCGCTCTTATTTTATCCCACCGCTATAGGTGCTCTTTCTTTTGCAGCCCATGGGTCAGCAGAAGTCATGTGGAAGACACAACATCTCCAGGGTGAATAAGCCTGTGCCGGCTGAAAAATATTATTTGGCTTCTGGTATATTTGGTATCTTAGCAACAGCAACTCTGATTGCTCATTCTCTCCAATCCACCATGTGATCACCTGAGCTCTGACCAGCTGACACACTCGGGGATTTCTCTCTCAAACGCACACAGAAAGTGTAACGCCTTATGATCAAACATTAACCAGCCTGTTTAAGCATTAATCCAACACCTTCTGGTTCTTGCCCTGTGTACCTGTGTAAAGCTCCACCAGCTAAAACATCAAAAATAAGCATCCATGGACACACCAGCACAATTCTGTGTACATTTTTAGATTGAATAAAACATAATAAAGACACTGCAGGGTAAGGTACTTTCTCACCTGCTACAATCCAATCTTAAACCACACCTGAAGGTGAAACACACAGTGAATTATAAAGAAAAGCTCAATTGTGCAGACAGTTCAGCACATAAACATTCATTCTATGCTTCATCAAGTCCATTAAACACCTGGTCCTGCTGGTTTCTAACCACCTGTGTGGCTGTCTGCGAGTCTACTTCCTCAATTCACCCTCTTTATTTTATGGCTGATTGGTAAGAACCAATCAGTCCAGCACACAGAGTAAGAAGAACAGAGGGACGGGGGGAAATGAACAGCTCCCTAAAAGATAAAATCAAGACAAAGCCTTTCACAGCACAATCACACCTTCACTCCCTCTGTGTTCACATCTTGGACACATCATGTGGATGCCATGGGTTTATCTGTGTTTTGAAACATGCCGCGTGAATCTTGAATCTCATACGGTGATTCTGGCTTTTGAAAATTGCTAACAGTTTACTTTTTAATTGAAACTACTTTCAACCAGAGGGGGGGTGGGGGTGGGGGGTGTCCCATTGAGGTGGGCGCCTGAATGAGACACCCCATGTAATCATGTCTGTGTGTCTCCCTATGTGATGGGCCATCGTGGGATGTTTTAACAGCTCACTGTCAAATCAACACCATCAGTCTGGACTAAACCTGCACAGACAGGCAGGCAGACGACACACACACACACGCGCACACACACACACACACACACACACACAAACACACAGAGCCTGACTGGGTGGCAAAGGGATGATCTGCCAGTGGGGTTTCTTTCAACAAGAATGTGACAGTTACAGAAACAGGCACTTGTGCGGATAGGCAGCAGGTGAGTGAGGTGAATGCACTACAGTTTATCCCACTGATGGAGCTTATTTCCATTTTTATTCATTCAGAAGCCGAGCTTGAGTCAAGCACTAGTGAAGGGCAGCAGATTTTTTTTCAACAATGAAATCAAGTGTGGTTAAAAAAAAGAGCTCTCTCACTCCTCTAAACACTCTTCTGCTAAATAAACTCTCAGAACCTCTGTGTGTGTTTGTTTTGACAGCACTACGATACACAAAGCAGACATTCTGCATAATTGCTGCGGTTATGCCTACCCTTAGCGCTGTTTGAATGCTTCAGATTCGGTTCTAAAGCTGACACAAATACTGAGACTATACACAGAGAATCAATCACATTCACATACATAGACAAACATGCGCACATACTGCAACATCTGCGGGTCTGCGTGCAAAGTTAAAGCGAGATTTTGACAACTGCTTTCCATTAAACAATTCCCACTGACTGAATGAACACTATAAAAACAGAGAAACAAACCATTTCCTTTCACGCAAACAGAGTCTATGAAGAATCACAACACCGTAAAAGATACACCATCCATTTGGAACCACTTGTTCTGTCTCAGAGGTAAGCTACAATCCTCTCGCTTTGCAAAAGAAAAAGCTGCTGTGTCACATGAGCTGGATGTGAAAGAGCTCTAAACAGGATGTTGATAAGAAACCCACAGAGACGTCCAGACCGTGGAGACCAAAATTTCAAGATGCTCAGTTACAGGAGAACTGGGGGTGTGATCACGGCTAATGGGAAAGACCTAAGTGATAGCGAAGTGGAGATGGAGTCGAGACCATTTTCAGTGGGAGTTAATAAATGTTTTCAAACGCTTGTAAAAATGTAAAAAGTTTGTATACTCTGTGTTGGTGTTGTTCCTATAATGCTTGTCCAGGATAAACACTGCAACAAACAATGTGCAATTAATGTATGTTTTTCTTAGGTCATTATATTTAATATAAAGTGTTTCACTGATTCTGGTTCTAATGAACTTACTCACGCAAACACAGCCGGACAGAAAAACACGTTCAAATCAGTGATGCTCAACAACCCCAAGAGAAGAAGAATAATTGGCTCTTGCGTGGACAAACCCCTTCTCTGCGTTTTCAGGAATGATAAATGCAGAGCGTACCATGAGCATCATAGTGTGAACCCTCGCTCTCTACTGAAGGTCAGAATTTTACAGAAGCTCTCTAATATATAATTAATTCTGAAATAAATGTAATAACATGGCAGGACATAGGTGACCTCCATCAAAAACGAATGAAATGAAAACACCATCAAATGCTAAAGAAGAACTACAATCAGTCAGAGCAGAATGCCCTCATAAGTACAGTAATATGGCTCCACTGTGGGTATGTGTGTGCAGTGACGCTCAGGGATCAGCTGTGCTTCCACCTCCTTTTCAGTTGTTAAATATGGGTGTGTATGGGTGTCTCCATCATTCTCTCTCTGGTGCTTTGGTAGGCTTCAGTAGTCTGGCTGGTGACCAGAAATAGTCCCCTCAGCTGGCACACTGTCCCAATTTATGACCCATCGCATTTAGTGGAGGGCAGCCCTGCTTTGAGATGCTCAGTTCATTTCCCACAGAGAGCACTAAACTGTAAAACCGCTAAAATGCCACCAACAGTGTCAAGAAGGCAATCCCACCTATGTACCTTCTAACTATCACTGCAGACAAAAACACATCGTAACTGGCTCTGAACTTTTTTTTAAATCAGTGCTGATATTCTCCATCTGCTTTTACCCCTGAAGATGTGAGGAATGCTGACTTCTTTGGATGTGTATCATGTGTAACATGAAGAGGCAAAACTGGCCCCAAAACCAAAGCCTGCGATGCTTTTAACTGAGAGCCAAATCCAGAAGTCTGAGCCAGAGGTTTCACGGATGACTGCACACCATACCACAAAAGTAAAAATAAATGGGCTAACTATTCACATCTACAACTATTTACCAGGGACTTCTGTGCCGCAGTTTCTAGCGAGGGCCACTTAAGTTGATCAGATGGGACTTCAAAGAGCTGGGTTTGTTTCACACAAACACGCAGGTAAATTTCTCAACGTTCTGCCAAAACAAACTTGGTAGGTCACTTACCATCTGAGAACGGCTCTTGGGACATCCATTGATATCACCAATCTTCTCATTGGCTGAGGAGAGACAGAAGAGACAGAGAGACAAAAGAAGAGATAATGAGACCTCTTTTCAGGCGTGTTCACTTAATGTAATCCTCTCCTTTATCCCGATGTGTGTGTCCCAGACAGTGACAGGCTGAGTGCAGAGAGCAGAGGTGTTCATGCCAGTGACTTGGATCCCCCCTCTGCTCCTTTCCTATCCCCTCCCGCTGACACATGAAATGCTATCTGGTCATAGCAAATGGGAGCGGGGCCGTTGGGGGCCCAACCAGGAGTGTTGCGCTGCTGTGTGTGTGTGGTGTTGAGAATCCCTCCCGTCCATTAGAAGGCCCAGCCCACAGCAGCTGAGACACAGCCCTCAGCTCACAGCTGACAACTGTGCTAACAGCACAGACTCCTGCATCAGGAGGCACGGTGGAGACTAGAGGGCAGCTACATGTCAGGACCACATCCTTTACACCATACAGCAGCACAAAACACTGTTCTTCCAGTGAAGTGGATGGTTTTGTTTTACAATTCACATATGAAAGAAATGTGGTCAGTTTTAGTGGAAATGACGAAGACTCCTGGGATTACTGGGCTTTTATAAATAGCTCCCATACACTTTGGACTGTGAATTAAAACTGATTTAATTTTCAGTTTATGTTAGTTAATTGGTGGTGTTATCAGGTCAATTAGGTCAACATGCAATTAGAAACTTCAACAACTCCACCCATAAAAATGTAAAACCATACTCGTTTTAAAGTCCTCCTTGGGCAACACTGCTATACTTGTAGTGCTGCTGTTATTCGCTCCATAGGAGTCAAGCTTTGACTCCTTTTACTGAAGGTCTATGGATCTCCTTCACTGTTTCTTAATATGATGACCTTTAAGCCTGAATTTTAACTTTGGAAAAGAAGCAGGTGATGAAAAATTTTTTTTTAACATGTTGTATATTTTGTACACACAATGGCGCACAACAGGATCCACTGCAGGTCTCGTGGTTTCTGTTCTCACACTGAAGCACCAGGACAGTCTGACCATGAAGGACAAATTCATGGTGCAAGATAAGTGAATGTTGTAAAACCCAAAACAGCAAGCATGCTCCTGGTGGCCCTACTGATCTTTGTGGAAGGACACCGATCCCGGAAGTCTGGTCAGGTTTAAAGAGCAGTTGATGTTTGTTTCCTGCCCAAGACTGAGGTCTGTGGTGAAATCACAGGGTGCTCATACAAGTGGTCAGAAGGAGACTTATAGGAAGTGATCTAGAAATAGCAGCGGCTCAGGAAGAGCTCAAGAGGTCAAGATGACCTTCAAGGCAAGGGGTTTTTCACTTTTATGAACTTGGTATTGCAGCATGTATTTGGATACTACCTCTCTCTATGTGCATTTAAAGCACGTCATTTTCATACTGAGAATTAAAATTTGGCATGAAGCGATAGTTTAGTGCAAACAAGACTATCAGTGATTTAACACTACTACTGTTGGCTTTGGTTTGTGTGCTACCTAAAAATTGCACACTGTAGACACCAACACCCACAAGAGACACGTACTGTGTGATTTTGGGACACACTTAAAACTAAAAATAAAAAACAAACTCACACAGTTTATCTTGTGAATACTGAGCAAATAAATGTACAGCTCACATTCCTGCAGCTGGGCTATACAACAGCTAGATTACTGGAGAAGACTAGAAACAGAGGACAAAGCCATATCTTAATTTTGGTTGAATTTCACCAGACAGATTACCCTCTGAAATATTCATAAAAACAACTGATGATGAAATCGATCTGGAGGCTTGTGTGAAAGTCAACCCTGACCTTGAATCTAAGCAGGTCAAATAGCTAAACAGGTGTCATATCCGACCAGGCCTCTGAACTTTTACGGCTGTTCCAACACCAGCAAGCTGCTCTGGTTTCATCACACTATGTGGGTATGAGGTTTTCCCAGGAGACAAGAAGCAGCAGGCAAAAAGGAGGTACAAAACAGGTGAATGGATGGCTCTGGTTGGAAATGATTTAATCTGAGAGCAAAGCTGTAGCCAGCCTGGATTGCATTAACATCAGGTACTTTTTCCACAATGCAGAAACTCAGGAGCCACCTTTCACTTATAAAATTCAGCAAAACTTTCATTTCTTGAGCTCCAAAATAGTCTGAATAATCAGCTTCACTGCTAATGAATTATTTAATACTAACTGAACAAACACAGAGGAGCAAGACAGACCCTGTTCAACATGGTCCCATGTTACCCAGTCAAAACATCAAACTTTCATAAGAATAAATCATAAAAAACACGACCACATCCAGGCTGGAAAGTAGCATTAGAACAGTTCCACATTCTTGTGTCAGCATTTATGCTTGTGCATATCCCCAAAGCAATATAATGCCAACCTTGCTCTTTAGTCACCATACAGGTGTGAAAACAACTGGATTTTCCTGGAACCCTTTTAACAGACGAAGATTCGTATAACCCAAAAAGACCTATAGTGCTCATTCAGCTTTATATAGTGCCAAATTAAAACAACAGTCGCCTCAAGGTGCTTAATATTGTAAGAGACCCTAGAATAATAGAGAACCCTCCCCCCCAACAATCAGACAAGGCCTTATAATCAAGCACTGGGTGACAGCAGGAAGGAAAAACTAAATTTTAACAGAATGAAACCTCCGGCAGAACCAGGCTCAGGAACGAAGGCATGGACTTCATGACCTAATTTAAAACACAATCACATGCAACAACTGATGTAGTGTGAGAACAGTAAAGGTCTTCATAGCATAAAATGTACAGAATCTGGGTCAGAGACACGGGGGAGGAGCAGGGAGCAGAGTCACTGACATGCTGAATCACCGGTCAGCTGGTGTTTGCCTGTTTTAGCTGCAAGGCTGCCGGCAGATGAAATGACAGGCTGAGGACGGCCAGACAAGATGACAAGACTGATGATGATGATGATTTTACAGACGAGAGCATGGGTCAAAAACACAGACGATCAGCAGTGGGTTGAACAGCTGCATACTGTGTATAACTGCTGCTGTTGAGTTATAAGCTTTCTTAATTTGATTTAGGATCATAAGACTCTTTGAGAACATAACTGAATCAAAAACATGCTTAACAATACAAACATAATACAAGACATTGGTTTGTAAAGAGTTGAGACAAGGCAAAGCACAAACTTCAGAAAGTTTAAATTTATTTGATTTATATTTATATTCACTCTTCTAACTGTTCTCCTTTCTCTTCTATACATTCTCCCAGTCTACAGACTGTAGTTCACTGACTGTCTATAAATTCATAAAAGTTTTCCTCAACAATAGTGTTTTTCTCCTGACTATTGGCCCTTTGTGGAAGTAACTAGTTCAGCTGCAAAATCTACTTTATAGTTCAATATTACATTATATAATAGAGTAAAATGGTTTAATCTTATCACCTCAACAAAAGACGAGTTTGTAGTTAATGATGATGTTTGCAAGCGACCATTTATTTGGTAAAGGTCAGCCGTGTCTAAACAAGTAATGACGTGGCTCGCATTTTTCTCCAGCAGTCACTTGATCAGAGCTGGCTTCTTCCAGCAGGGCCTGGAATCAGAAGTTGGTTTCCTTACCTACGACCTGTATGATCTCAGCCAGCAGCACTCCGTCCGTGACGTCTGTTTGCAGGTCCTTGATCAGACGCTTGTGTCCTGACTTGGCGAGGTAGTGGTTGGCCCAGTCCGTGTAAATCTGCGGTCAGACACAAACACGAGCACGGTGTTTCAGTTACGTGCCAACAAAAATAAAATTCTGTCCAAAAAAAAGGGCCGACCCTGTCAGGTCGCCAATGTGTTTCAAACTCCATAAACACTTGAAAAACTACAAAAGCTATAAATGGATGAAGCAAATTTACGACTAATAAAATAACAGCATGCTTGAATGGGAGCAGAGTAGCCCTCTTTTCTTTTGTTGGGGGCGCCGATCTGGCATATATCCGCGTGGTATTCAAATTGGGGCCATTGTGCTCAGCCAGGGCATTCATCTCGGAGCACACGGCGGCTGTTTTCAATGGGCCATGCTGACATCACTCTCTGGGGACAGAAAAGACCCTTCACTGCCTGGGGGGGAGGAGAGGACATGGGGGAGGAGGGGGGTGTTGGTAGAGAACGCATCTGAATAAGCTGAATAGCTTCCCTCATAATTAGCTGCAAACTCTCTTTTTTTTACTCCCTCTGTGATCATAAGAAGTGAGTCTATCTTTCTGAGGAGGTAAAAAAAATGAAGTGGCTGAAGAGAAGTTGTGCAGAAGGGTATTCCTAAAAATGAAGGAGATGTTTTTTTAAGAAATGGATGTGTCATCAACCCATCTTGATATGCAGCAATGTCAAGCTTGTCTGTAAACTGCGCAGTCTCTGTGTGACAAGTGCAACATCAGAGGAGCCCAAAGGGATTTGAAACATGTGCTTCTAAATAAAGACACCTCTCACTCCATGTCTCACTCTTGCATTCATACAAACTCAGAGACCTGCAGTCCACTAAGACATGACAGGGAAGTGTCAATCAGCATGTTTAAGTAACTGTCAGCTTTCTGCAGTAATCTCATTTCACTAGCTGGCTTGACAGCGTTTTTAGTGGATAAAGGTGAATGGCTTAAACATGAATTGAGCTGGGGCTTGGGGAAGGCCTCAGAGGGAACTGGCGGCGGCTCCCAAGCCTGACAGAACAAAAAGCTTGTAGAACTGGGGTATCCATATATAAATAAGAACCGGAAGGGGCGTGTTTGGAGGCGTGGTCCCGGTCCTGAAATTCAAGCACTTTAACTCCAACTCTTCGTTGCCAAGTAAACTAGAAATCCAGCTTCAGTGATTGGATCCTCCATCTCTTAAACTCAGCTTGGTGTACCCCTCAAACTGATTTTCAGACAGATGTTCCTTCTCTGCTTTGTACAAAGTTTATGCTTTTGATTAATCTTTCTTTTCCACAGAAGAAAATAATGATTAGTCAGGCTGACAGATTCTTGTATTAAGATAATGGGATGCAGGTCAAACACAAAGTAGTTTCTGCTGGCATAAATGTCAAATTCCAAAACTGATTGATTTACAAAATCCAGACACACAAGCAAGCAAACTTCATCAGTACACACTTCACTGTGAAATTCAAGTCTATCTGTCAGTCCTCAGTGAGTGCATGGCATTGTAAAGGTCAAGCCTAAAAGCACATGCTTGAGGTGACGTGTGTGGCACAGTTGTGACCCGTCTTTCTTTGAATTTGCACTGTAAACAAACCTGAAGCTTTTCTGCCTCGACAGATGAATCACTGCCCTCATGAAGTCTTACAACAGGTGCGAGCACTTCAAAAAGATTCATAAACACGCACATCCGTACACTCATCATCACGCACAAGCTCAAACGCAAAAGGTTTACGATGCAAACACACGACCACACATTAAATACAAAGCGCCTCGGAGCGACATTTTGAAATTACACGGGCTGCATTCCCAAACACAAACGCACAGTTACAACAAAAAAGGTTCTGAGTGACAGGCTGAACTAAAAAAAGCCTTTAAGCTGCTGGATTAGACGATCCATTCACACTCTCAGCTGGTTGTGGAAAAAAGGAAGTGCAATCTTGAAGAGCTTTTGTGTGAATGTGCAAGCGCTCTTTGAAGTAGTTTTGGGCAGGTAAATGGAGGGCTTGGATTGCAATTAAAAACGAGGTGAAATGGGTAGCTGTCATTCACGGAGCTGTAAACCACAGGGGAGGTCAAATGGCCCGAGGGCAAGTGGAGAAGGGGGTATGGGCTAAGTTAGCAACAGGTTCCTTTTAAGTCCCGAAAGAGACAACTTTTCAAAACACACTTTATTTCTCTGATGTTTCCAACTCGGGCAGCTCAAGCTTCAAATGCAACAGGTAAAAAATTTCATTTTAAAGAAAGGCTTGATGCAACTTAGTGCTGCTTTCAAGAAGCAAACTTCACAGTGACCACAGGGATTTTGATCAAAAATGAACATTTTGAACTGAAGCAAATAAATATTTTAATATATATGTGAAAGGTCTAACTTGCAGTACAACTTCACAAAAACACCACCTGGAAGAGACCAAAACAGAGATAAAAGGATAGCGAATACTGAACTTACATTCACCATGTCAACAGAAACTCAATTAAGCATTAATAACAGGGCCATCCACAGTGATGCATCATTTGCTTCAAGTTTCAGTCCGCTGCTGTCCAACTGAATCAGTCAACATAAGTCAGATGCATCTACATCAAAGACCTCACTCATAACTGGAACTTTGAAATAAACAGTAAAAGGAAAGAATGCAATAATGGGAATCATGTGTGGTAAACCACACATTTATTGGAGCTTCTGTGATCTGGAAGTTGCTTAAAGAAAAAGTGATGGGTGATGAGAGGCAGACATCACATCTGGGAGGCAATTTAACAGGCTGAATACTTAATGAAGAGAAGTATTAATTCCATATTGATTCAATATCCATCTATCAAACACAGATGAGATACAACAGATTCCGGTTCAGTCTTTAATTTAAACCACTGTTAATAATATATAGACAATTTAATCACTAAGCAGATAAGAAGATAAGCAGTTAACATTATTACACGGGACAGTCCCGTGGCACTATTGGCATTTCTGTGTGTAGCTGGTCACTGAACACACAGTACACATACCGTACCTGAAAACAAAACATTTCAAGTATCAAAAATCTGTAACTATTGATTTCTAATTTTTAAACATTTATGTTTTTTATTTTACTTGTAAAATCTTTGGTAAGGTCAGGGGTCAAATATGACATGATATTTGGATGCAATCTATAATGTGATATTTAGAATCCCCATATACCAGTATCATTCCCAATGCTGCCAGTACAAACAAAGACAGTTATTTTTAAATAGCTCTATATCACTTTGAGCTGATCAGGCAAATCTAATGACTTTAAGGGAAATGTCAGAGGTCAAATGTGAAATATTTTAAATTTACCCCCCACCTGTAAGAATTATAGTTTCTAAGTTAGAAGGTTCTTGTCCATTTCAGACCAATAACTCACTAAGTGGAGGACCTGAAAGCATAACCTATTGTGGGTGTCCTCTGAATACATCATTTATAATACTTGAAGTTGAAACAGGGACTTATCATGAAATAGAATACAAATGACACTGTTCCATAAATATGAAAGCATTTACACCAACACAATGACTTACATGTTCTGTATCTCTGGTACATGTATCTGCTAATATCATGAAAACGATCTTGTTAATAACTTTACTTCCCTTGGGAGAACATACTTCTCTTATCTTCCTCACCAGTACCGTCACAGCCATATGTCAACAACACTGTGGCAGTCGGGGATCCATAACGTGCAGATGCATCTTCTAAGATGGAAAATCCCCCCATTACCCCCTGATGGTAATGGGGGTCGTTTTAGGAGTTGTAAGTTGGAGCTGTGGTAAGGGACGTTCCCATCATCAGAGAAAGCAACATGACAGTGACTCATTCACAATGTCACGGACTTACAGAAACTGTAAAATGTGGCCTATCAATTCTACTGACATTTTGCTTTGGGAATATGTCACCTCCATAAACCAAATCTGGGCCTACCGGTAGTTTGCATCTTTCTTTGATATAACAATAACAATTAGCAGCGCAGTCTGATGGTATTTGGAGAGTTACAGATATCTACTGTTTTTGCCCTGGGCTTAAGGACCCTGGATTTGAAACTACAGAAAGACATTGAGATTGGAGTTGGAGTGTTAACCATCAGAATCACTTAGACACTGTGTCCATCCATCATGTAGAAGTGATAATCACCAGACACCCCATGTTACGATATTATCATGATACTTCATTCTAGATATTATTGCAATTTCTAACATTTTGTGACATTCTGAGTATTGGAATAACAAACTGTTATTTATCACCTTTTTCAACTTGGTTAAACTTTGTCAATATTTGTTTTAATTAGACTCAATAAGATTAAGTTATCTCACTTCAGTTATTTGTTTTCTGCTGCAACACTGAAAGCATTTCAAGCACACCAACACTGAAACCTGACATAAATGCTGCCATTATACAGTCAGTCTGGTATCAGTGTGCGATTGTATGGAGTCTACAGTGCATTTTCTCTTCATCGCTTGCCATTTAGTCAAAAGATTCTTTCAACAGTGAGCCATGAAAGTCTGGACCTAACTGCATCATTGTGTTCACATGATAATAATGTTCCCTTTAAGGCTTAAAATTGGAAAAGCATCAGTTCTTCAAAGCCTCTAACAAACATTGATGAGTCATTCAGACTGCTGCATCTTTCCTTTTATTTTTTTGTCTTACAGAAACGCACAGATCTGCTTCACATCCAGCATCCCTGCTGCCTCAGCTTGCTGAGTCACCAAGCTGGTGTGGGATGCCTACAGAAGGGCATGACGCACACAGGCCATCCCTGCAGTGCTCGGTTGGCCCTGTCAAATAGAAGTTGAGGGCAGCCAGAGCCTCACACTGGGAAGTGTGCCCTCAATTTGAAGGGCACTTTCTGAAAAGTGAATAGTTCAGATGCATAAGTTTGGCAAATGTCACTCGGCTGAGGACAGAAGGAGGAGACAGACTGATGTGTTTGTGTACTTCCTGCGGGCATGTTTGCTTATTTCAAACTCTCACGCAGCTGGAGCAAACACTTTTTATTTCTTTTGCTCTTTTATCTCTGTTGTTTGCACTCACTCACTTGAGAAATGATAACTTGTT